TGATTATGATGTAGAACTGGTGATAGATTTTCTACTGGAGGTAGATTTTCTAGCTTTCTTAAAAAAGAAAAATTAAACTTTGATTTTTTTATTTTAAACCAGATTCTAATTGTAAAAGTTGTCTCTTGAGAGAACTGGTATATTCATGCTTTTCACTTACTTAAAATGTCAATTTGAGATCTGTTGCTCTATCCAGTATAAATCTGCTCCAAGTGCAGATGGATGCACCTGATCAAATATGAACTCTCTCTCTCTCTCTTTTGGGTGGAAATGCCAAACAGTGTGATTGAACAAATCTCAATACATGACAATCTGTTTTAGGTTACTGCCATGTGTCCAAAAATAGGTCTGGTATGCCTTTGCAGGAGTAATACTAAAATCACTGTTATGAGTGCCTCTTCTTAGGCTTCTGTTGCTACCTTGTCCTTGCTAAGAAGCGTGAGCTTTTTACAAGAGAGAATTAATGGATGGGATTTAGTAGGATATGTAGCCAGTTTTGATTTGGACTTTGAACTTAGATAACAAGAAAATCAACCACCCCCAGCTTTAAGATTTTCCAGAATGAGGATCTTGGTGGCCACAACTTCTGTTCTTGTAACAGAAAGTTGCTAAAGTAGGCATGTTCAGACTGTAGGAGATTCAGAACTGGTTTGTGTTTCCAGTGATTTGTAGCTTTTGGTGATGCAGTGAGTTATAGCAAAATTTAACTAAGTATAAACAGCCTTTCTGACATAAATGTGTGTTTCTTGCTTGCTTTCCACATTAACCTATAGTAAACTACAAGTCAAAAGAGCCCCATGGAGAACTTTGGTGGAATTACCAAACAGTCTTTGAATTAACTCCTGTGACACAGTCACTGCTTACAACATCAGTGATTGATGTATTGGGAGAGGAGCTGCACCTTTCAGGGCCAACTGGAACATCTTGCTGTGTTGTTCTGAAGTTCACCCTGGCCAGTTTCCCCTGAATACTGAAGGACACAAATCTCTGTCTGGTCTCTTGATGATGACTGATTTCTCAGCAATGAAGTCTTGACAGAAGCACAGGCATTGGTCCAGAGGTCTGAGACCTCAGAGGCCTGCAGTTGGACGCAATGACACGTTTTTTCCCAATTATATGAAAATGTGTACACATATAACAGTACACTCAGCAGATGACAGCTGATGGAAAATTGAGGTAACAGGTTGGGCTGTAAAACTACTCATGAAAACAGCTCTACAGTGGAAGAAGAGCAGAAATTTGCAAAATTACTGCTTTCTGACTGGAATCTTACTAATGTTTCATGATCGATTCATTCACATAATTCTTAAAAAAGTCTAGGAAAGATCCTCTGTTCTGCGAAAAATGCATACTTTGCTCCTGAATCACAATTTTGGCAGTACTGATTGTTGCGTGTGTTCTTTGAAAAGTGTACTTTCAGTTCATAGTGATTAGTTTCTCTAAAATGAGCATCAGAGAATACTTTGGGGAGCTATTTTAAAAGTGTAGTCATGACACATATCAGAATATGGATATAGTGATATGTGCCACATTCTTCATTTTACCTAGTATTTATCAAATACTCTAGACACCCACTGTATAAGTTGTTAACACTTCCTTGAGACTGATGTGTTTCTGGCATGTTCCCTATGCTCTTGCTACAGGGTGGAGAGCTTTCCTGATCATTGCTGACTACTGGAAAACTCTTCTTTCTCTGACTGCCCTGGGTCACCAACTTTCAAACTTTGTGCAACTTAATTTGAAGCACTGCTGTTATCCTTTAGTTAGATATTGTGAAGAAACATATTGAACAGATAAACACTTAGAAAAATCTTTGGTTTTAAATTTCTATGGCCTATGAAGTTTCCCCAATAGAGTCAGTCACCTTAACATCAAACTTCACTCAAAAGCAGTGAAGGCAAAAGCAGATTAAAAAGTATTTTGCGCAGCTAAAATAGAGTTTGCAAAGGCTCACAAACCCACAGTAACAGGAATAGAAGTTTACTCCTTTAGCTTATAAAGGGCTTTCTCCCCATTTACATTATCAGATAAGCTGGTAAACATTTCACAGCTTTCCTCCCTGAGAGCTTCATTGCTCAAGCCAGCTCTTCATCCTGATATTGAAAACATGGAAGAAGCCAGTATGAAAATCCCTTCTTTCTCTAATTAATGTTGAAACCAAGAGGGAAGAAAACTAACTCTTCTACTACAAAAAACTCCAAGCCTCCCACCTGGAAAAGAGTAATGGTTCTGTGAGTCTGGATCAGAACTCTCATCTACCACTTAAGAAGTTAAAACATGCTTTCCCACATTTTTTCAAGCCTTAATCAAGTTGACAGTCCTTTCCCACTCATTTGGAAATTGTTCAAATCTCAAGTTGAAGCTTCTTCTTACATTACATTTTTATTATTATTACTATTAAAGTATATGTTTACTTCAACCAGAATGTAAGTAAAGTCAATTAATATGAATCTTGAACAAAAGCAGATATGGGGATAAGCAATCACTGAATAGCCTACAGTCATGTCTTTGAAGAGTGAATAAAAGTAAGCTTATGGGAACCAAAATGAAGGTGTTGAAGGCAAGCATGGGGAAAAAGGTTCTGAAAACTAGGGACAAAGAAACAATCCCAGGGAAACTTCACCCTGGAAAATTCAATTTCTGTTTGAATAAGTTTAGCTTTGCCACCAGACTGAACAGTGAGAACTGTATAGAGTTTCTACACAAACCTGAAGGAAGGAACTATTGTTTGAACAAAAAAAGTGATATCCTGGCACAGTGGGAAGGGATCAAACCAGAAAAAAAGTAAAACACTTAGAGTCATAGAATCGAACAATGGTTCGGCTTGGAAGGAGTCTTAAAGATCAACTACGTCCAAGTCCAACTTATATGGTGGAGAGCAAACAGAGCTCTGCTCGAAAAAGACAGCGTGAGCAACTTCAGGTGATGGAACACAGGAATGGTGGCAGCAGACACTCACATTGCCTATTCCGGTGGATACCAGACTATGTGAGAGTGCCTGGACTCACTTCATGAGTGGGGTGATGGATTGCCAGAGACTGATTTCTCTTGTGTGATAGTTTCCCCAGAGCAGGCATGGTTAAGCCTGGCATGCCCTGCATGCACTGGGGTGCACGGGTGCAATCTGTTTCTTTGAATGCATTAAATGTCTCCTCTTCCAAATGGGCATCAATTCTGCTCCGCAGCAAAGCCAGGCGCTGAGCTGGCCACAGGGCTCTCATGCTTTCTTTCCAAGGTCAGCCCGGCCAAGGCTTGTCATGAGCCCCGCGGGCAGCCCGAGCGAAAGCTGCGCTGAAGTCAGCTCGCCAGCCCAGGGGATCGTAGCCCGAAGGGGAACTAAACCCAAACGTGACGGCCAAAGGAAGTGGGCTGGTGCCCGAGAAAACCGGCTGAGCTGAGCTGCGGCGAGATGCCTCGCAGGAGGTCATACAGGAGGTCATACAGGAGGCCACCGTGAGGACCAGCTCGCCACGTGCTGCACGCCCTCGGGGCTCGCCGGGGCTCGGCGGCTCCTGCCCGCCATTCACCGCACTGGACCGTCCGCCGAGCCTGGCCGAGCCGGACCTGGGGCGGTCCGGGGCACTCCGGGGGCGGTTCGGGGGCGGTCCGGGGCGGTCCGAGGCACTCCGGGGGCGGTCTTGGAGCCGTCCGGGAGCCGTCCGGGACAGTTCGGGGGCGGTTCGGGGGCGGTCCGGGGCAGTCCGGGGAGGTGGCCGTGACCGTGGCTCTGGGTCGAGGCGGGGAGCGCTGCCCGCTCGCCCCGCTACGTGGAGTGGGCCGGGTCAGCCGGCGGAGCGCAGGGAGGTGAGGAAGGGCAGTGGGTGCTGTGGGGACAGTACCTCACTCAGTTCTTGGGCTGGGCTGGGCTCGGCCTCCAGCGCCGCTTTCGTGACGGGGAGCAGCGGGGAGGAGGCTGGGCTGAGGAGTGCAGGTGGGGGCGGCTGGCTTGTCCTTCCTTCCCCGCGTTCTCCTGCCGTGCCGGGGCCCGTTTGCCTTCCTTGGCTGCGTGGGGAGCGGGGCTGGCGGGGCCGGGCCCCGCAGGGCGGTCGGGGTGCCCTGGCCAGGTGAGGCTGCAGTGCTGGCGGCTTGCAGAAAACCAGCACCTGGGTTTGTTACTTTCAACTGTGTTGTGAGGCTGTGTACGTTCCTGCGGGCTGTGTTAGCGCAGTCTCCCAATCTTTGTGGCTGCTGGTTTCTCAGCTTTTATGGCCCCAAATAATTTCAGTGGAAGTAATTTTTTTATTTTGCGTTTGTGTCTGCTTCCTCGTGTATCGCGTTGTACAAGCTCAGGTAGGAAAGTACGATGGACAAATAAAGGCTGTGGAAGTGCTAACGCTGCCACATTTTTTAAAGTACTTGTAACAGGAAGCGGGATAATGCTTGGCGTAAATCTTCTTGACCTGGTAAAACACTACAAAAACTATTTCTCTATTTATTTATTGCATAACGATGGTCAGGCAGAGGCTCTTTATTAACTGCTCGTGTGACAAGAGCAAGATTTTGGATGAAAGAGATGCTTGTATGAAACCCAGGAAGGAGTGTTTGCTGCTCTGACAGTCCCAGACCTGTGCTGGTCACAGCCTTGATGGTGCTTGGCAGGAGCCTGGGGAGCCACAGCTTGGTAGGAGAGATCCATTAAAAGTTACCGAGCTGAATCAATGCTCTGGTGTGCTTCCAGAAGCAGCTCTTAGGTTTATAGTGTTTTCTTCAGGGACTCAAGCAAGGTGCTGGATGTGTTTTGTTTTTCTTCTTCAGAAATTCAGCACCATGCACTTATTTGACTTGGACCATTTGGACATCTTTAGATCCTTAAAAACAGGCTAAAAAGTCTTGTGCAGAAGTTTTAGAATGCAGAATCCTTAATTCAGATATTTTAATTCACATATTTTATGGGAAATGAGAAACACCTATTACTATTTTTTTTATTACTGATTTCCTCTCTCCTCCTGAGATTAAGACTTTTTAAAAATATTTTACATCACTATTTTTGATAAATATAATTTTGTCTACACGAGCTATTCAGGTTCTTTTAAATGTGTCCTAACAGTACCTTGAGAATGATACTGGAAACTTAATAACTTAATTTGGATTTAAATAAAAAATGTGCCACATTAAAGTTCTTATTGCTTCATATTGACAGGTATCAGGAGTTAAAATGACCTTGAAAAGTATTCAAAGCATGGACTGTGAAATGAACTCCTTCCACCTGATACTGAAAGAAGGTACTATTTTCAATTTATTTGAATATTGATAAGGCTGCTCTTTTTGCTGTGTTTTGGATTCTCTTGTGTCCAGTTTGATGTGGAACAATGAATAGGTAGCACTTCACTGTTGTAGAGTCAGCCAGTAGTGGCCAGTTAGGTACAGCTACAGATACTGTTTTTGTTTCCTTCCATCTGTTCTTTGGTAAAAGTTGTGGCAGTTACCTGAACTTGAAGTACACTTTCTTCAAGTTCAGATTTAGAACAGTTAGTACTGTCTCAAAGTTGAACTGGAATTGAACTTGCAAAGACCCAATTGTTACAGGCTTCTTTGTTAATACTCTTTGACTGCATTTTGGTGTGGCTTCACCAGAATGCCCTGGATAATGGGTTTGTCTTAAAGATATAACTTTTTTTTAGTTCTGCAGCTTGCAAGATTGTCTGGAAAGGAGACGTAAGGACTAAAGTTTGTGGTCATTGTGTTAATGACAGAATAACCTTATTATAATGCTAATTCTTATCTTGCTGTAAATTTAAGTATTTGTTTCCTTTTAGTCCTTGAACCTGTCTTGCAAAGTTGCTTGACTGATGTGTAACACTGTTGTTTTTGACAGAAACTTCTTGTCCCCAAGATATTTGCTAGAATTCTTGGTTAGTCTCTTCTGCAAATTTTGTTGTAAGTCATCTCTCTAATGTACAGGGGGATGCTCTTGCTTTTACATTTAGGATGTCTGTAGAAAATTTAGTTTTGTATGTGTATGCTGCTGTCCAAATGATATGTTTTGTAAAATCTTTTTTTCCTTTTCTCTGCTTTTTACAGGTAAACTGAAGCTCTAAAAATGATGACGTGCTCATTGGCCAGTTACAGGAAAAGTGCAGATAAGGCAACTAAATAAGGACTGTGGTATGAGGGTTTCATCAGATAAACTGTCCAAAAGAACTACTTACCTGGAGACTGTTTTATTAAATTATTGAGCTCTGCACTGTGTGAGCCTCCCTAATACCCCAGCACTTCTGCATATGAAATGCTTCAAAAGAAGGAACTGCTGTGGCTTATTTATGACTGAAGCGAATTACATTGGATATAAAAGTAAGTTACAGCTTACTTTTTCATGTAATACCTTATCTTCTTCCTGCCATCTGTAGCTGAGTAGAAGGCAAACATTAACTAGGACCTGTGCAATAAATGTTTTGCAATGGACTGCTACATTTGAAACCAGATTGCTTTAGAGTGGTAGCAGCATGCAAAATAATCAAAAGCTGAGGAAAGGCAAGGCCACTGAATGCAGTTCTTAGCCTACAATGAGCTATCAGAAGGGGAAGGATTTAATTGTTTGCCAGCTGGTTGACAGTAGAAAGCTTGGGGAGGTCTCTGATGACAGCTTACCAAAAGAATGCTGGTGCATCTGAGAGGGAAGAAGGACTTGGTTAAGGTTTAGAGTTTCATAGAAGCCACTTGTGGGCCATGAGGGCAGTGGGTGTGTGTTCAGTCATGTCTTTGTTGGAGAAAACTGAAAAAAAGACCTGAGGTGTGAATTGAAACTAAAATTCTTGGACACTTTTGTTTTGTGTCTGACCACAACAATTCAGATTAGCTGTGGTTTCCACCGACATTTGACTTTAGATGCCAATTTTAAGTGGCAAATGACACTGGAGTTACAGTATGCTTGCCCTTCTGCAAAGAACTGCAAGTTACTGCTCTTAAAAGATGCCTCAGCTGTATAAGAACCATTCAAAGAAGGAAACCTTTTACATCCCTGTGATTGTGTGTCTTGTAAACATTTGGAAAGAAGAGTAGCTTAATCAAGCTTGGTTTTTAAAATGTGCAGTATAGCTTAAATCACTCTGCTAGCATAATTTGTCTGTGCTTGAGGGTTGTGGATTTTTTGCTTTTTTTTGTTTAACTATGCTGGTAAAAGAATATTACACTTATGCAAGGTTATTCCATTAGGATAGTTCTAGTTCCAGGAAAAATTCTAGTCAAAAGCTGAAAACTGAGCAGCTGTTTGTGAAGGCCAAGACTCGCTGTAGTTGAAATCTTCAGTGACTGGGGCTAAATTACCAAATCCATGTTTTCCCTCCCCAAGATGACTAATGCTTCTTCTGATTTTTTTTTTTTCCTTAAGGAGGAATGCAGGGTGCAGAGGGCAGTGCCGCTTGAACGGTCTTACTACACCCATGGAAAAAACTTCTGGTTTGCAACAAAATATGACATCTATATTTTTGCTCATTGGTCATATCATTGTAGTGATACCTCTCTTCAGTGCTGGTAGGTTAAATACTTTGTTGAAATTACCATTTTAAAAAAAGAAAATGTCAAAGAGATGTGTTGTCTGTATTTAGTAGGAAAGTTACTGAGGACAAGTAGTGAGTTTGAGGTTTGTTTTTGCTTTAGCATATTGATGACAGCTGAATGCCTCTGCTGGATTCAAATTGCACTAGGGATGCCATGGGCAAATGGAGATAATTTTTTTTAAAATCTAGGCACTTAAATTTAGGTCTCTGAGGCTTGGATTAGCCTTTCCATGTTTCTTATGAAGAAATCCCAAAATGATTGGCTTCCTTGACTTAAGGTTAGCTAGAGAGTACCTTCTTTATGAGTCATTCTGTAGGTCTAGTCCTGAAAGCAGTAAGGCTGAGTTTACTTTACAATTAAATTAGTAATATTTTTAATGATAGGTATAGTATTTCAGTTAAGTTTAGAACTACATAAGTAAATTATACTTGTCTTGCTACTCTTGACATAAGCAGTCCAATTAATGTCTCTGAATTAGATTGAGTTATATAGAGACCTATTTGGAAGTCTTTAAATGGGAAGGTAATGATACTAGAAAGATTAGTGAAGATTTGATTTATTTTGAAATGGAATATGTTAACTTCGTATTTGTACAGCCATTCAGCAAGATTTGTAAAATCAGTTCAATCAGATGTTTTGCTATTTAGTAAAAATTCAGTGTTGAACATAAAATCACAGAATCGTTTGCATTGGAAGGGTCCTTAATGATCATCAGTCACCAGTCCAACCCCCCTGCGATGAGCAGGGATACCTTTTCACTAGACCAGATTGCTCAAAGTCCCATTCAGCCTGGCCTTGAACACTTCCAGGGGCATCCACAGAAGCTGTGGACAAATGTATGCAGAAGCATGAAAGTTTTACAATCTGCTTTATAGCCAAATGGTCAGCTCTGTTTGTGCTACAGTAGTTTTCTCCTGTAAGTTTTTGTTTGCATACTTGGGCTCTTGATAACTTTTTTGCAATATCTGTCTTTTTTTCTCTGATTTTTTTTTTTTTTTGTTGATGTTGAAAGAAATACTTGCTAGCCTGCATGATTGTGTCCTATCAACTTGTTACACAGACATAAAAACGATGTTTGCATTGGCCTTTTCTGTGATGTTCTGAATAATGGGCCTTCTGGTTAAAGGTGCAAATGCAGGAAGGAAATAATACATTATAGTCAAGACTTCTTAATCTAAATACTTTTTCTCTCCAAATTTTCTTCCCCTGATTTGTTTTTGGCCCCCCAGTCACAGTAACAGAATACTTTCAGGAGCTCTGCACTGCTGCTGTTTGCACTGTGCTTTACATAGATAGTATTTACTTTAAGAATCTGGCAATTCTGCAAAAGTACATGTAGCATGGTTAAATAACAAGGACATGACAGGTAAGTTGGGAAGCTTGGAGTTGCCTGATGAATCCCATGGATCTTCTTATGCTCTGGTTTGCAATGAGGTTGTTTGACTTGCATGTGCTTGTTGCTGGCTACCTTAACAGAGGGAAGTTGGGCCTTAAGCTTGTAAAATATGTGTTCATGTTCTCAACCAGAAGGTGGTAACAAACAAAAAATAATAGCCTTGTGATGTCTTAATGGTAAATTGTAACAGAAAGTTTTTCTAATTCTGTGTAACTTGGAATGGGTATTAATACTTCTTAAACATAAAAGTATACTAATTAAAAAGCATTGATAATTTTTTCCTTTTTTTTCATTTTTTTTTAACAGAAGGGTGTGTTATTTGTGATTACTTTGTCCTTGCTGGAGAGCCTACAGCTATTACTTGCCCAATAATTACATTGCCAGTGCTTCACTCTGATTATAATTTGACATGGTATAAAAATGGTAGTGCTACACCAGTGACCACACAGAGAGATGCCAGGATCCACCAGCGAGAGGGCTTGCTTTGGTTTATTCCTTCAATGCTGGAAGATTCTGGACTTTATGAATGCAATGTAAGGTAAGGAAGGAAGGAAATAAGTGGATTGCTAGTGCTTGCAAGTGTGATAATTAATTTGTGGAACTTGAGTGTACAAAACTTGTTTTAGCTAGAATGCTTAGATCAGTTGAAGGCACTGTTTCAACCATGCTTTTTGTTTCTGCATGATGCCTATGTTTCTCTGCTATTCCACGTATTTTGCACTGCAAAGGTGGTTCATACAGAAGGCTCTCTTTATCTTAAAGCATGACCATAATAAAAATGGTCCGCAGGGGTGGTTGTTTGCTTTGTTTGTTTTGGATGAAGTGTAAGGTCACAGGAAAATGCCTTAACTTCTTTGACTTTTCCTGTTGTCGCAATTCCAAAATTTCTATTTGATACTGACAGAACAGAAGGACACTGGTTTCTTTGTAGGACAAGGCTAAATGTAAGAAGGTTATAAGAGGAGCAAACTGTGCATTTTAGTTACCACACAGACTTTCTGGAGAGCTTAGTAACTTTCTGGAAGTTAAAAGGCTGAAAAAAATTTTTATGATTCATTTTCAAGTATTACCTTGTGTTGCTGATCAAAAATGAGAATACATTAAAAGAGCAAGGCAGTGTGCTAGAGAGCTTTAGAGACTGAAAATAATGTGTCTCTAGTACTACTAAAATGATCTGTGCACAGACAACTAGAAAGGAATTGATTCTTTGAAAAGAACCTCTATATAGCTTTTATAGTACTTTAAAGATTTTGCTAGATCAATAGCTAAGATTAGTGCACTGGACTTCACTACTTAGGTTGCTAAATCTTTTTTACAATGGTTGAAACTCACTGTGTGCTGAACAGGAAATTAATTTTGGGAAGATATACATAAAATGTTCCTTTCCTCATGGTGTTGTCACAACACACTGAGAACAGACTTTTCAGGTGGCCCTAAATTTGTTTTAGTAGTGTGTAGTTATGTGTACTAGTGTGCACTGGGTACACCAGTTTTCCTGGAGGGGTTTGGGTGGTGAATGTAGTAGCAGTGGTCATCAAAAACTTCCAGTGTCACAGGCACATTCCTTCACTGGAGTTTACCATGAAACCAAAACTGGAAGTCAGAAGACATGTAATCCTTTCAAAGCTACCCAGCTGCATAATTTTAATTTAGCCTTTCCTGTTACGGCTTTTGTTACTCGAGGTATGAGATGTGTTCTTGTGGGCACATCACATCCTTGGCTTACATAATACCAGCAGAACAAAAAGCTTGCTAAGGTTCGGTCGTATTGACTGTAAGCAACATTTTGTACATCAGACCCTTAAGCCTTAACTGAAGCTATGAGAAGTCCTGACATCCGCTCTCATGTGTCCAGAGCAAACTCCATTTCTGCTCACAACACAAACTCAGAGCTTATGCCCATCTCTTCACCTGGAACAGGGACTGAGAGACTGAGGATGGTGTTTATAAACTAAGGAAATAGAGCAGGGGTGTTACAGAGGCAAGGCTGGTGGACGTGCTGAAGTCCCTCTCCCTGACTTGCTGGAAATAATGAACCTTACTGTTAATGACCTGACTTGTTTGCTGTTCTAATTACAGGAGCCTGAACCACTCTAACAAAAAAACTATAAACTTAACAGTTTTTAAGAACGATAATGGTTTGTGTTTTAATGGAAAAATGAAGTTTGAACAAAAAGTGATCAGCACGAATACCGGAAAGATTATATGCCCTGATCTAGAACAATTTAAAGATGAAGAAAATAATAAGCCTGAAGTACATTGGTATAAGGTACTGAGCATGTGTATTTCATATATACAAGATACAAAATCTGTTATTTAAAATGCCATATGAAGTAACTGAAAAACAGCTTTTGGAAGGGAAGGTTTATTTTCTCTACAGTTGGAGTAAGGCGTGAGTGTGAATAAGACGTGTGGAATTCTGGCTTATTCTTTGGTTATTTAATGTAGATAATAAGTTTTAAAACTTGTATATTTCTGTAAATAGAAGACTCTGCATAATTATTTAAGTTTCTCAGAATATTAGGCATTGTTGACTATGCTGTGGTATTCTTACTCTGCATGCTTTTGTTCTATGAAAATGCTCTGTAGACTGTGCAAGCTTGAAAACATGTATTTTATCTATGTTAAAGTAAAATTCTAAACAGTTTAACTCCTAATTCTGATGCTGGTATTAAAGCAGCCACATGGGCCTGTACATGTTAAATAACCTTGGTGCAGCACCTATACATCTTTTGAGGTGAAGAGATTCTCCACTGCTTGTAGGTCAAGGAAGAGAAAGAAGCTTTTTCCTTGAATTTGCATTGCCACAAAAATGGAGACACACTCAAACAGCACCAGGCAGTGCTACAGCAGCTCTTTCATCACAGAGAAGTAGAGGTGCAGGCATGTATTCTCATAAACTCTGCTGCATGTGTAATAACTTCTACCACACCTGAGATAGAAAAGTGTCAAGCTATTAATGAAGACTGTGAACTAAATCACAATGTTTGAAAATGTAAAGGGTTGGCTGCAGTGATTTTTTTTTTTTTTTTTTTTTAAATGCAAATGGAGCAAGATGTCATCTGACTTTGTTAGACTGCAGTGATGCTTGGAAAAGAATCCACATCATGGCTTTCAAAGAAATCAGTTTTTACCAAATATTTTAATCATCAATAGAGTGCATAACTGATTTGTCAGATTGCTTTAGTTCTCTTTAAGTCACAGTACCTTTGGTGTGTTTAGGAGTGTAAACCTGGATTTCTTGAAGACAAGCGACTTATTTTGGCAGAAGGTGAAAATGCTGTCTTGATTCGTAATGTCACTGTTCAAGACAGAGGAAACTACACGTGCCATGTGGTATACACATATATGGGAAAACAATATAATGTTTCAAGAACCATAAGTCTAGAGGTTAAAGGTGAGTGCATGAAGTTATTCTCTTTTTGACTCTGCTTTAAACATTTGTATGTAGGCATAAGATATTTGGCATGTTACTTTTCGGCTCTGTGAAATTATAGTTGTAAGGTTTCTTTAATTTATTCCTGAACATAAAATTGAAAGGCAATGAGGCATGTTGCTACCCTTGAATATTGCTTTTGAGGAAGAATTGCCATGGGGAAATGAGTAGTGCAGGGTTAGGAATGAGAATTAGAAGAAAGCAGTGGTTCCTGGAATGAGGTATTGCTTTTGCCAAAACAAATAGTGCACCATTAAAGTAAATAAACTTATAAATAGAAGCTTTTTCTCTGAGACTATCACAGCAAGTGACCTGCTTGAAGCCCTATTGGTGAACTTGCTTCTCTGTTCATGGGAAAGGAGATGTGACAAGCTGTATAAATAATATCAAGTTAATAAATCTTCCTCTGGAAAGAATTGGCTTCCTATTGGCACTGTCTCGCTCTGCCGGTTGTGTCATTAATTGCTCTTACCATTGTGATTATGTCTTTGTGGGCAATGTTGCTGGTGACCTGACATGGTAATAGTCCTATCAGTCCTATCAGAATAGTTGGCTGGAGACAGCAGGCCTGTCTTTTTAGGTTAATGTATATAGGTAATACAATAACAGTGGGTTGTTGGCAACGAATCTATATATTGTGCAGAATGATACAATTCCAGCCCAGTTTAATACGTGTTTGTTTAATTTTTTTCTTTAAAAAATACTCACCTTATCTATGAGGTCATTGATACAACCCTTTTTCTCTTCCTTAGCCATCTCTGAAAAAGTTAACTGTTTTTTTGGTTTTGTCTTTGTTTTCTGGTTTTGTTACTTTTATACCTGCTACCAGTAAATTTGAGATTTTTTTTTTAAAGCATTTTAAAAATAAATTTTTCTTTGTTAACTTGTGAGCTAAAATAGAATAACTTGGAGAGATAGAGCAAATATCTTATGAGACATTTCTGTTGTAAATTTGAACCTTGTAGTAATTATGGCACTAGAATAATACCAAATGATAAAACTAAACTCACTGTAAGACCAAAACCATTGTCAGTCGAGCTAAGTTGTGGATCTTTTCCTGCCTAAAGGTTTTATTTTTCTTTGTTTCAATTAGAAAAGCCACTGCAGGTGCAACCAGAGTTTATTTATCCGAGGAACAATACAATTGAAGTAGAACTTGGTAAGTAGTGATTATTTAAGAGATCATTATCTTTAAGTGAAACAAATAAACTCCTGGTCTTTGTGAATTGATACGTGAACAGTTCCACAGACTTCAGCAAGACTGGGAGATAAGCATGTGGATTGAGAATATCGGGAAGACAGAGGATAGATAATAGGACGTGATTCCCACAAGTAATTTGTAGGGGGAAGTAACTGTGCCTAAGATTGGAGTCTCTTGACTAGCAGTGTTGTGCAGGATGCATCTATTTATTTGTTATTTATTTATTTTCTATTATTGCCATCTGTCCTTTTACCACTTCTTGGTGTTTGTGTCATGATGTATCCCCAGTAGTTTTGGAAATACAGTTTATGTACACATAGCATGTTAGGATAGTTAGCAGTTGACCAGTTCATTAGCTCTTTCTCTTCCTGTATGTTTCCTGTCTCCCTTCCCTCTCCACAGCCTGGATTTTATTCCTTGTTTTAGGGTAATACAGATTTTCAGTACTGATCCTTTGTGAAACAGTTAGCATATCCCAGGTACTGTTTATCTTGGAAGTTTCTTACGTGAGAGATTCTGGATATAAAGAATAACTTCTTCACGGGGAGGACAGTTGGGCAGTGCAGCAGGCTGCCCAGAAAAGTTGTGCTGTCTGTCTTTAGAGGTTTTAGAACCTGACTGAATAAATGTCTGAGCTGCCTGGTCTGACCTCAGAATCAGGCCATCCTTTGAGCAGGAAATTGGATTAAAGACCTCTCTTTTAACCTCAGTTATTCTGTAATTCTCTGGGCTTTTCCTAAGCAAAGTTACATGTGTTTAAAGTGCACCCCATATCGGACAGAGTTGTGTTCTACTGACAAAGTCCAGAAGAATGAGATTGGAGCTGCTTGAACTGTATTTTTAAAAATAATTTTGTACCAAAGGGGCGGTTTCAAACAAAATATTTGATTTAAAAGGGCATTAACTGATTTTGGAGAAGTGTGATTGGCTATTTACTAGAATTTCCTAGTACAGGAAACAGTTTTGTAATCTGAGGAATTAGATCATTAGAGAAACTCTGAGCAAAGGTTGCATTTGGACTCTTGACACCACATGGGAGGTCAGGCCAGAGCATTGTAGATTATTTTTATGTGCGTCACCCTGATGGAATCTCACATAACACAGCTACTTTTGCTACTGCTTTTTCTGACAGTGAGCTTGTAAATATTGTGTGTAACAGGTGTTGCTTTCTTCTGTTAAAGCTTCATGTTTCTTTTCATATCATGTGAGGCATTTTTGTCTGTCCCAAATTCTATCTTTGAATATAAGGTATTAAACTGGACAGCACTGAAACACTGGTGGGTTTTGTGCATGTGTGTTTTGGTGGGTTTTTTGTTTTGTTCTTTTCTTTTCTCTTTGACCTCAATAGCTTGTGAAAGATAACTTACTCTGAAGTTTCCAGATTCTGGTGAGGATTGGTAGATTTTGATCAGTATTGTAAATGAGCTTTAATAGAAATTATGTTCCTCCAAAGTTCAGAAGACTTTGTTTTAAACAGTGAGAATATTCAGGATCTGATACAAAAAGTATTATTTTAAGGGCTTACAGTGGTCTTCAGATGGTTATTTAATTCTGTTGAAATAGTCTAGAATTGCTCAGCAGCCTCTGAGCTGGTATTACTTTCCTGGTAATTACAACTTCTCTTTCTTCATTACAAACAATACCTGCCTGAAAAATTTTTGGTTCTTTCACAATTAAGGAAATTTAATAGATCTTGGATTAATACAGGGAGACTTCCCATAGTAATTATTTTACCTCACATAACCCTAATCTTTGTGTAAAAACTTGCCTTTTTATTGTAATTGTACCTATGGAAGAAATTAAGTAATGTTACAGTTGGGCTTCCCTGTACTGTATCTCCCACTAATTAAAGTATCATGTAAGTCTCATCCCCAGTTTTGACTGATAGTTATGACTTCTCATTTAATTCAGAAAAGTTCTTACCGAGGCAGCCTCTGCTCAGGAGTCTGATCTGCAGGCTCTTAAATTTACTGAAGGCAGTGTTAGGGTTTTTTCAGTCCTTGATTGTAGTTACTGAGCAATTTATTATTCCATGACTGCCTGTGGCTCTCAGCCTAAGTCATTAAGACTGTGTTATGGGACTACTTGTTTAGATTCCTTATTGTAGAATTTGGACCACATTTGTTACAGCTTGGACACAGCATTAATTAAAAGTTGTGCTGGTGTATTGTTGGATGCTTTGGACCACCTAGGATGAGCAAGCCTTGATTGCCTTACATACGTTAAGGTAATAGCCACAGGTGAAACTAAAAGGAGACTGCAGCCACAAAGTGGGTTTATTGTGACTACTGAGATCTACAAATAATGAGACTACAAATGATTCTCTATTACAAGGGCACATGAGGTGACACTTTTTAAAGGAATTTGGTGAGATTTGTTTTTGTTTTAAAATAACATTGCTATTCAAGTATTCAGTTATTCAGTATTCTGTGTCCAGTACCTTCAATGGGGTACTGGGGGAAAAATATAAATTCTCCTACTACATGTCTGGCTGTGGGACAGAATCTCTAAGCAACTGCATGAATACCTATATGGAAACACTTGTATGATTTTTGAATGAGAAGTGGCAGGAGAAGGTGGTGTAGAAACTTAACAGTACATTCATGAATGTGTGGCCATGGAACACTTGAGGGGTTTTGAGTTCGTTTTTTTTTTTTTTTAATAACTGGGCAGTGCACTAAACCACGTATTTTTAAAAATTAATTGTTGTGGTGAAAGAATGTGAGGGAAGAGATCGGGGAGCATCTCTTGATTTCTGTGCGAAATCTTGTTCAAGTAACTGCTTTCCATGTGAGCTAAAGGTTTATTCCATACTTTTGTTAGAGACCATCCCTTGGTGGAAGCATCTAGATCTGATGCGGTTCTAGGAAATGAAAGACTAAGATCTTTCCATAGGCCAGCTGAGAGAGCCCACCTTCTCCTATCAAATCGTAACTTCCGTGGGTAAAATACAGAAGGAAAGGAATCCAAGAAAGCTGCTTACCTTCCTGTCATGGAGCTTGCTGAGGTACATTGGCAATAAATGTATTTTACAAATTGGCTCGCTTAATACTGAGGCCTTCTGTAAGATCTGGACTCTTGGTGGCAAAGGAGCTGAGTGACAGGTGAGCTTGCTCTGGAAATAAAGTGTGATAATATTCAGAAACCATCCAGTGGACAGTGTTGGCCAAAAGATCCTGATTTGGAGTAAAGATATGCATGGTCACCAAGAATGGGATTCAGCTCCCAGATGTAGTTGTCTGCACATGGGTATGTGCACATGATCGGAGATCCTTAACTCAGGCCAGTGTCAACAGGGGTCAATTCAGTTGCCTACACATAGTGCTGTTTTGGGTGGTCTGGCTATCTAGCAGAAGATCTGAGAGTCCTGAAGATCTGGAGTCCTGTCTGACAACTCTATATGGATACCTTGGATGCCGGTGAGCATCTCTGATGTCACCATATGTGTACATGCAACTGGTCTGAGCCCTGGAGATCTTTCAGTGGAGTCTGGAGAGGAATTCAGTTAAGGTATCTACTTTAGTGTGTGTGGACTTCAGCAGAGATGAACTCTGCTACTAGCTTAGACACCTAGCTTGTATGTAGATGTGAGCATTTAGACACCTACATTTAGAGTGGAATTTGTATCCAGATTGTAGACACCCAGATTTGGAATAGAGATGGATGAGTTTTAAGAACTTTGTTTTTCATAAGGTAAGGAGGTTTCTTTTATATTCCTCCTTTTCCCAGCTGTTCCGTCATCACTCGATTCTGCTCCTATTACAAAACCTTCAGTTGCTGTATTTACATTTTTTTGTAGGCTCTCATATAGTTATGGAATGTAACATCTCAAGTGGCATAAATGGCTTGATTCCATTCTGGCAAGTTAATGATGAGGATGTTGATATCTTTGATAAAACCTACAGGGAACAGTTTTATGAGTAAGTATCCTTATACACTGAATTTGTAGTGTATATGTAGGTGAAGTAATTTGCTGTCATTTACAGTGAATTCACTATAAAGTAGACTACTAGTGAAATGCCACTAGTCATTGAAAGGCTGATTAGAAGTCTGTATCAAACAGTATATTCTTATTGCTTGGTTTTAAAACAATAACTTTTTATTATAGATGCTCTGATACAAATGGAATGAAGGAATCATGTAGATTTTTATAATGTTGTTGCAAAATACAATTTTGTAATGCTTGGTTATGCATTTTTTTTACATTATTTTTTTTTACTAATACGTTAAAGCCTGTCCTCTGTCATTAATATGGGAAGGATAGATTGTTCCAAAATAAAAAATCACCCAACTTATTTTTATTTGTGAAAATGGTCCTTTTTTAAGTACAGATAGAGCTGCTAATCCTCAAGAACACAAGACAGAAACTCTTGTTTCAGGACATTTAGGTTCCAATTGAGTACTCTGAAGTAAAAAAATGTTCAGGTGGAATTTCAGATGGGAAAGTGATTCAATTTGTGTTCATAGCCTCTTGTCCAGTCAGTGGACACTACTGAAAGGAGTCTGGCTCCCTCTTCTCCACTCCTCCCTCCCATCAGGTATTTGCACACATTGATGAGATCCATCCCCTGCCCCTGAGCCTTTTCTTCTCTGGGCTGAGCAGTCCCTGCTCTCTCTGTATGATGGATGCTCCAATTCCTTATTTGTCACATCACTGCACATGACTTGCTCCAGCAAATTCATTCATCTCTTGTATTAGGCAGCCCAAAACCGGCCCTGCTACTCCAGGTGTGACCTCACCAGTGCTGAGCAGAGGTGAAGGATCATTTCCCTTAACCTGCTGGCAGTGTATTTCCTAATGCAGTCCAGGATGCCTGGGATCTGGTTATTCCTCCTCCTCATATGCAGGATTTATATTTTGCTCTGAACTTCACGAGGTGTTTTTTTTCATTTGTCCATCCTGTCAATGTTCCTATGGATGCTGGCTGTTGTAACAGACATCCTTTTGAATTTTGTGTCACCTGCAAAACTGCTAATGGTGCACTCTGTCCAACTCTGGGGAAACACCCAACAAACCCAACCTCCAAAAAACCTAAAACAACTAAGCCCAGTATGTTTTTAGTTCATGAAGTTTTTAGTTACAGGGGTATATTTACTGTGCTTCACTAGCTTCTTAGGTTTCTAGAGATAAAAAAAAAAATAATGTTTTTGTACTTGTGGATAGATGAATCTGTCTTATATTCAGCATAGATACTCAGATATGTACAGATGTTTCCCTTTTACCTTTTGTTAATGACAGAGAGGGGTTGCCTCATGGACTTGCTGTATCTGGAACAAAATTTAACATTTCAAAAGTGAAAGAAAAGGACTATGCTCATAAATTCTTCTGCCACTTCATATATGGTTCTCAACAATTTACAGCCTACATCAAATTGGAATACCCAGGTAAGAGATCTCTTCTTGATAAAATGGTGATCATTGACTTACTTCTCAGTTTAGTTTGACAATGCCCTACTTAAGAGTTAAAGCTGTGTGATGTACTTTTATCCAAAATGGGCAGTGCATCTCAGTACCTTTCTTTGTGAATTTTTTTTTTCACACTCTTAGCAAAATGGAAGAAAATAATACTTTTGATTGTCTTCTCTCATTCAGTATTTTAGGACTGAAAGTGGATATGAGCTCTAACTTGTTACATGACTATGATTTCTTTTTAAAGATTATCAGGGTAGGATTTACCCTCAGAAATTCTTTAATGCATTGACTAAAAAGTGCAGTTTGTGGAGGTTGTTTGTTTTAAGGACAGTAAATGAGTAGGTTCATTGACACGTCATTGAAGGGGCAGAGACAATGGAAAGCTAGTTGGTCTGGGGAGATTAGCAGGTCGGGAAATCACCTCCCCACCTTTGACTTCTTTGCTTTCTGACTAATTGTACAAGAATGCTCACTCGACTGCTCTGTTGGGTTATATGTCAATATTTTATTTTGGTGTTTCAGCTGAAGAGTAGCCTCATTTACCATGTTGTGTTTTTTCTCTGAAAGATAAAAGTAGGCTTATCAAATAACATTAATGGCAGAAAGCATATATTAAACAGTTTGTCCCGTTGTTTCACTCCTTTTAAAACAAAAAATATTTTAATGATAAAATAATTCTGAACAATTTTTGTCTTTCCCTGGTTCTAGTTTATAGATGTACTTTATTTGTTTTCTTCATTATTCTGTGTTGCTGCAGCTCGAAACATTCAGGGATACTTAATTGGAGGAGGAGTTTCCTTGGTATTTTTAGTATTTTTTACTCTCTTTATCTACAAGATCTTCAAAATTGATATTGTGCTTTGGTATCGGGACTCCTGCCATCCTTTCCTGGGGAAAAAAGGTAACTTTATGTAACAGTGCTGAGTGTTGTTTTGAGCTTCCACCTTTACTTGCAAAGCAGTTTATTACTCTCATGGATCATGATTGGTCTTCCTTGGGGTTTTTGAAAGGATAATATTGTTTTTAGGATGTTTAGAATTAGTTCAGATGACAAAAGCATCTAAAGGGGAAAAAATCAGCAACTTTTCAGGAAGCCAGAACTGCCATTGCTTTTCCTGAAGACCCACCCCAGTGGTTTGAATACTGTTCTGACAGCAGTTTTTCAGATTACTTTTAATTACTATTGTTACAGAAAGCAGTAATACATTAGAATTGTTAAGGGTTTTTTATTTTCTATAGATGAAACAGGAAAAATATAAATTTCTTTTGTTTTCTATTTAAAGACACGATTATTTTACTTTCTGCAAATTTTGCTTTCCTGGCATTCAAAAAAAAATGTTGAAAGGGATGTCGTATATGTGAGAGTATGATGAAGTATGGATAATTTCCAAACATCTGAGAGAAGATAGTTTCTGTTTCTCTAGCCATGTATTTTCTAGGGGTATTAAAATTCTCTTAGATTTTCTTGGAAGTCTTTTAAATTAGGTCTTTCTGAAAAGTTTGATCCAAAATATCTCAAACAATTAGGATCTTGAAATTTGACACTTACTTTGTTTTTGTTGTCATGTCTAAGTGGTTGCTGTGGTTTGAAACTCCAGGTTGCAACACCATCTATGAGTTATATGGCAAATGGAATTTTATGGCACTGGGTCCACTGTTTTTCAAATAATTCAGTGATGACATTTTCTTATTTAGTGTTCAAAAGAGAAAGTTACAATTTAATTTTACAGGTCTCTTTTGCCTATTCAGATTCAGCATCTTGAATTCTAGAAGGCCTGATCCTACAAATATTTCAGGCTTTGTGTAATCATACATGCTTAGCTAATATATCAGGATTAGGACCTAAAACAATGATTCAAGTAAGGGAAAACCCCCCAGAGTTTAGAGATTTTGTTTGTTTGCTTGCTCTTACATCTTTAGAATTCATTTTCATGGAAGTTCTATTGCTCCTTAGTTTCAGATGAGAAGATCTATGATGCTTATGTTCTGTATCCAAAGAACAGAGAAAGCTGCTTGTATTCATCAGATATTTTTGCTCTGAAGATACTGCCAGAGGTCTTAGAAAGACAGTGTGGATATAACCTCTTCATACTTGGGAGAGATGATTTACCAGGAGAAGGTAAGTTAGCTGAAGACAAATTTGACTTGAGTTTTCTTGTTGACCTGCAAATGCAACTGAGAAACAGGCAGACAGTCAGATGGGATTCTAAATATCTATCATCAAATGAGTTTTTTTTTTTTACAGTTGAAGGATTTTCGTAGTGGTTTGAGAAGGAAGGGTTCCCTGAGAAGTAGAACCTAAAGTGCTGCTTAATTTTTCCAGCTTAAAAAAATACAGTAGTCCGTTCTCAGGGTTTAGCCATGGGGTTTTTGTGTGATATTTACCATATTTCACTGTTTATGAGTTAACTGACTGGAATGCAATTGATCGGAGGAATCTTTTTTCTGTTCCACTTACATGTAACAAAAACAGTTGAGTATATCAGAACAGACTGTTTAAGGTAAAAAGGTCCTGTGGTTCTGAAACTTGGGGTTTTATTGCATTTGTACCTATGATGGTAATAAAATGGCATTAGCAAGCTGATAGTTGGTAGCCCTTCTCTGTTTCTGCAAGAAAAGGATATAGACATAGAATCTGATGGGTCAGATTGTGTTGCATTGGCCAGATCTCTATGGTTGGCTAACCCAAGGTGACTGCTTGCATGCCCATATCCTCTTTGTTGTAAAGTGTGTTGGCTTAAATATCAAACAGTTAATGAACCATCTGCAGAATACTAGTAACAGAAAATGGAAATGTACAACCTTAATTTTGCACAACCTTTTTCTCTACAGCTGTGATCAGCGTTGCTGATGAAAAAATCCGTCAAAGTAGGAGAGTGATAGTTGTTTTAGTTCCAGAGCCCTCCTGTTACAGCATTCTGGAAGATGAGTCTGAAAAGCAGCTAGCCATGCATAGTGCTCTTATCCAAGAGGGCATGAAAGTAATTCTCATTGAACTTGAAAAAATACAAGATTATGCAACCATGCCAGAATCTATCAGATATATTAAACAAAAGCATGGGGCTGTCCGATGGAAAGGGGACTTCTCTGAAAGGTCCCACTCAGCAAGTACCAGATTCTGGAAGAAAGTGCGCTACCAGATGCCATCCAGAAAAAGTGGCTCTTTATCAGGATTGCATTTGTTACCAAAAGACTTGAATTTGCCTTAAATAACAAATGAGAAATGACACTTAACGACTGATTCAGTTCACACAGTTGGTGATGGATTGACTGAAGGCCACATGTATCTGTTTTGTGCAATCTCATCCCGATATACTGGAGTGATGGTACTACGGCTTCATCTACAGAAGTGAATTTTTTTTACTTCTGGCTGGATCAACAGAACACTGAAATATCATCAGTAGCACACGTAGGAAGTACACAAGTACTTTTCCAAGAATGATTCTGTGAAATTCCCTTGTATTAAAAATGAAAGGACAAAAAATTGAAACCGGTGAAGAATTTTTTTTTTTTCTGCAGGTAAAGTTTCAATATGAAGGGAATGACACTAATTATGGTTGTGATATTACGTAATGTGCATGGCTGGTGCCAGTAAATGTTTGTTTCTCGTTTTTTTTTTTTTAAAACCTTTTCTTTGTTACAAGTTTATTATTTGCCTCGTTCAGTTTGCGGAAAGATAAATCCCCCTGTGTTACTGCATCAGTGTGTTATCGTCCAGGAGAAAAGGTAAGAGACAATCCCAGCTCTCCAAAAGTGGTGTTGAACCTGACAAAGCTTATATACTCTTCCCTGATCTTTTTTCACGTTTGAAAGATCCATGCCATTTTTAGTCACCTGTCACATGCAGATGTTGTAAAAATACCTTTGTATCGAGTCAAAAAACTAATCTCCAGAGAACTTTTTGTTTCCAGTTAAATGGCTTAATATATTTATTTATTTACCCAAGTGGAACAATTGGCTAATGACACAGAGTCTGTCATGGGGGTACAGTATGATTGACTTCATCTACCTTACCTTAAGGACCATTTCAAGGGGCAGAGAGAGAGAGATGCCCTGTGCTACCCCCTGCAGCTGCTTGCATTGCTTCTTTCCCTCTGCTCTGATATGTAAGGAATCTGAGATGACTCCGTGCTGGAGGCTGCAGTCATGGCTTTCCAAACAAAAGGGAAAGGAAGTTGTATAAAATGTTGAATCCTTTCTCTTTGATTTTAAAATCTTTTTAATAGTAATTTGTATGCCCCAAGTGTTAACTCTAAAGTTATGTTTGCCTTTTAGGCAGTGCTGTAGTTTGCAGTGATCAGTTATTTTTTTGGGGCAGGGAATTGATTTGATTCATTAAAAAAAATCATCAGACCTCTTGAATGCTGTGTTTATAGCTATAAATTTTATAGAAACAGGAAATGAAAGCCAAATTGCCCATGTAATTTCAGTCTGTTCTTGAAAGTTATGCTTTTAGGTTGTGAGATCTTGTTATATGGGGAAGCCTCAGGAATTGACTGCTGCATGCAACTCTGCATTTCTGTGTCCTATCATTTTCTTCCTTGCAGCACCTTTTGCTCTTCCATTCAAACTCCAAGCTGTATTTTCTCTTGCAGCTCCTTTATCTTGAAACAAGCAACTTGCTCCATCACTTCCAAGCTCTACTTGAAGGCTGTTGCTATTACAGTATTAGGCAGAAAATTTCCCTCTGGTATCTCCACTTGTGTGTCTGAAAAATATAATGTGTTGCAACCTTCAGAATTCATCTGTTCATTTACACACTCCAGTCTTGGCTTTTCTTCTTTCATGGCTCAAACAGTTTTCTTATGCCCCAATACTCAACTAAATAAAACTGTTCTGGCTGGTAAGTGACAAAAACAGTGAAGTAGGTTCTTCTCTCACCTAAATTACTTTGGTTTCCTCAGTGTGTGCTGGAAACTTGAAACAGTTCTTTTGAGAGACAGTGCCTTCTGAGCTTTGTGAGTTATGTGTGTGTTTGGCCAGAATGGAAAAAGAATATCTTCATTTCAAGAGGAAGGGGAAAAAGTGCATTTGAAATGTCAGACTAATTCAAACTGTTACGATACTGAAAGATTTTATTGATGAATGTCATGAATGTACAGACCTATGCAGATGCTCAGTCTTTTCTCATTCTGTGTTTTAGTCACAAGAGAAGTTTCAGGGGATGATCAGTCCTAGTCATGAAGTGCCACATTTACTTAGCTGTTCATGCAGTCTGCCATTTAATATGGTGTGTGTTCAGTGGCAGTCTGTTGGTAGGCTCAAAGAGCCTTGAGATCCATCTGAAATTACTGAAGACCAAGGCTAATTGTTACAGTTCACATTGATAGAAGAATCAAATAGGAGAGAAGCTGTATGATTTGGTCACAAAACTCTTTGTTAAGAAGATCCCTGTATCAAATGTGAAGACACTGGCATTATGGTATTTGTACTCTGAGAACTAGGCTGTAACACTGACTTTGTGCTTTCACCTTGACAGCTCACTGTATGCAGGCCAGCCAACAGAGTTTCAGCGACCTCAATCCTCCTAATTACTTCTGCTGACTGGAACAGATTGAAAGGAGAACTGCTACTTGTTATCCCTAACTTTAGGAATGAAAGGTTATTTTACTGAGCCAAAATAGCGTTTTTAAAAAAACATATGTTCCTTTTGATGTGTTTATACAAATGATGCTAAAATTTTCATGTATGCTATGTAAAGGCACTTTGAGGAAGAGTCCATTTTAAAATTTAATAAAGGCACTACGTATTTTTTCATACAGTACTGCTGTTTATTTTTCCCTCATTTCTCCACAAAAGCATGCTGAGAATGGACAATGGCAAGCAGCAGTTGTGACTCAGTGGCTTAACAAGACTGCTATAAGAGATCTTAATTGAGGCTGCTGCCAGTCAGTCTGGCTGTGGTACAACACTAGCACAAACCACCTCACCCTGCCTGGGCAAACAGAGGCTGTGAGCTTGGCTCTGCTCTCTCTGGTACTCTTCTTGCAGCAAGGTGAAGCTAGAGCAGCCCCAAGGCTGCTGCATTGCTCTCTGGGACCAGCATGGTGCTCAGCAGTGCCATACTGAGCAGCCTTCTGCTGTGGCTCCTCAGCAGCTGGGGAAATGCAGCTTTTGTACTTCTTGGTTGTTTAGATATGCTAGGTTATTTTCTTTGCCCTTCTTCACTTTCTAAATTGCATTTAAAAAGGGCACCTTAATTTTTTGTCCATATATACACACAAATGTAGGTGATAAAGTGATAGCTCTCTTGGCTAGAATAGCTCTAGAAGCAAAGGTGGCTCACTGCATCTGAAGAGCATCACTGAGCCCCAGTAACTTTCCCACACACCTTGTCTTGATGGACTGCTGCAGCTCTGCAGGGCTTGTAGCAGGCTTCTTAGCACCTCGTGGGCAAAACCAGCAGTCAGCTATGATCCACAAAATGGAGGGAAAAAAAAGGGTTTTCAGAGATGTTTTAATGTGAAAAGGATTGTTATTGTTACCGGCAAAATTACTTTCTGCAGGAGCATTACAGATTTTGAATTATTTGTATTGTCGATGTTTTAATAATTAGAATTGCATTTAGAAATTTAATCTGCCTAAAGACAAAGGGTTTCTTAGATTGAGAGGAGATCTTGTTCTGACTGACTGTGGGTCCCTAGAGGGCAGTTCTGGGCCACCCACTCTGAGGTAGCTGATGTTTGGGAGATCCTTGGCCTAAATTGTGAAGGAAAGGCAATCAGTTAGTCTTTTGTGTATAGGCAACAAAGATTTAAGCTTTATGGTAGGCTGGACGGTCTGTAGCAGCAACTTCAGCATTTCTGAACAACATGTGGCAGCAGTGGTTTTTGAACAGACAGTGGATGAAGCTTTTCTGGATAACATGTGGCAACAACAAATTAAACTTTGAGGAAAAGGAAGAAAGGAAGAAGAAAAGATAGGGAAATAGAGAAAAGAAGATCTGAGTCAGCACCCAGAATTCCAGTGCTGTCTCTAGTCCGGTTCCAGCAGATGGTGAGTGCTGATGATGGGTTCACACCCTGCCCCTTTCTGTTTTGCTATTTATAAACTAGTCCTTGCCCATGTGCATTTTGTTGTTCTTGAACTTTTTGGAAGGGGAGTGGGGAGGTCTTACGGTTTCAAATCCCCTCCCCTGACAGATGCAAGTCTGTTTTGACTTTGTCTCTGAGTTTGAGACACTGCTGTCTCAAACTTGTTTTTAGAAATAGTTATCCAAGATAAGCAAGTTGATCCCAGAAAAGCACTCTCCCGCCTCTGCAAAACTCTTTTTTACCTTTTTTTTAACTGCACCTTATCTAGTTCACATGGTAATGTTCCTTTTCTCTTCTGCCAAATGCTTGAGCCATTAACTCTTTCAGGTTTTTAGTTTCTCACACTGATATGACTGAAAAAGGAGTGGAAGGAATTGCTTAATGAAAATTACATATGGTTGCTTGTGAAAACGTTATAACATTTATAAAGTTACTAGTTAGTCTTCAGTCTTTTGTGTAAAAAAGTGATACAATTCCATGGATTTTTCAATGATTTCTATCTAAATCTAAAGGGGTTTGATGTGATGATTTCTGTGTTCATGAGGAATGTTGAATTGAAACACTCAAGAAAATGTTTTTCTTCAATTACAGTAATCCTTTCTAAAATATCAAGTTGTAATAGAATTACTAATAATTTGTTAATAGTTTTGTGTTTAGAAGCACAATCACTTTCAAATTCAGAGCCCAGGAACCCAGATATTACCCAGCTGCTCTTTAGCTCGCGCTTGTTGCAAACGTGTAACTATGGACCCAGTGCTGAGTCTATGAACTGTAGGTCTGGTCGCATTCAGAAGAGACTGCTGGATTCATGAATAACAGGATTTATTGGCTGCAACATCTATGGTTCCTTTGGATTGCCAGCGATAAATGCCTTAACTGCAGAAAAGCTGTATCTAGCACTAACAATATGATTGCAATCACAAGCTCAGTATCCTGGGTCAACACTCAGCATAGCTGAGGACACAAGACTTAGCTTCTGGGGAGGGCAAGGAGGACAAACCCATCAACTTGTCCCTGCAATTTTGTGTCAGATTATAATCCTCCCCTGAGATATGAAATTGAGGTACATTTTATGTCTTATTAGCCACTATTTTGCAGAGTGCTGTGAGTGGGGCTGCAGTCAAACCATACGTTCTTTGTTGTCACATTGTACAGAATATTTCTCCATAGGAGGTGTGATTCTTACAAAATATTCCTAGGTAGCAGGTAGAAGGGTGAGACTCTGTAGCTTCCACCTCATTTCATGTTCCTCCCCAATGTCATAGCAACACAAGTCACAACACCTCCATCTGGTTTCCATGATTACACTGTGGGTCCTCTGACATACTGAGCTTTACATTACAGTGCTCTTGCCACCAGTTACTCTTCTAGTCAAATGATGTTGGTTATGAGTGGAAAGTAAAAATCACTATCCCAGAACTTATATCAACACTTACCAGTTCCTGGATGGCAAGTGTGGTGAGTAGTAAGCAGGTTGCAGTACATGGTGGTTCATAAAGCTGTGAATATGGGCAGTCTGGATGCCCTCCTAGTACTGCATCACACCTTCATTGCCTCAGGGGCAGAAGGAAAGCAAGTTCAGG